CGCAATTTTAAGGCTTGACATGTTTGGTGTCTATTTACCCGACGTGACCCCGAATTTTATGTTTTACTAAAAATATGGGTAAGAATAGATGTTTTCTAACATAATGTAGGGAAACTTTGTTTTTTTTACATTTATGGTACTTTTTTCATTATATAGTAAAAAAAATAATAACACACCCCCCATGGTGATTATATACCTCCAAAAGAAAGCTCTATCTGTCCCTAAAAATTTTTTAGATAAATTGCTAGTGTTTCTCTCCTGGGCGGCCGGGAGCAGGAGACTCCTGGAGCGCCCGGGAGAGTTTGCTGTCTGGAGATCAGTGTCCCTGGTTAGCTGGTAACCAGGGACGCTGATCTCTCTGCAAGTGACCGGAGCCAGCCGTAAAATCACGGCTGGCTCCGCCCAGCTGTCAGAAGCAGTCTGTCGGGCGGCCGCTCGGCCAGCTTCGGCTTTCAGCGCGGCTCAGCTGAGGCATATGCCTTCGGCTCGACTGAGCCGCTCGTCTAAGTTCGGGAGCTGTATGGGCTATTGTGAATAGCCCGTACAGCAGCCCTTCAGTTCTACTGAACCGAAGGGGTCCTGGGGCTGAAGCTAGCCGAAGGATCGGCCGAAGCTACGGCTAGATCCTTCGGCTGCTTCGTGAATAGATCCCCTAGTGTCAAACATAATATTCACAATAAAATATGTAAATAAATCGGATCTCTGTGTAATTAAAAGATTGGTGTAATTAAAAGATTGTGAAAAAAATGCACAACATGTAACAACTATGTACATGCAAAAGCATCCACACTGCAAACTATAAATCAAAAACAATGTCTGTTCAGACGTCTCTCGGAGGAAAAAACAGGTACACCTGTGAATGTGTCTAAAACAACACAATTCTAAAACAAAAATATTAAGTTATTAAAACATGAAGTGAAGCAAAAATATTGAAGTGAAAATTTGCAACACAAAACACCGTTCCAAAGTGGCAACAAAGCAGTTCCAATGTGACAAAAAATTCCTTTAGATCTATTGTGACTTGTCAATGGAATCCGAATGAAAAAATTTAAATGAAAACAAAAAACAGCAAAAAAATCTATTTTCTTCCAAAATAAACCAAACGGTGAAGTCAAATGTGTTTCCAAAGAGACGATACTTCTGTGATGTGTTAAATGAAAAACAAAAGCAATCCCCTCTAGGGTATGCACTCACCAAAGGTAAGATGTTATTAAGGCAGTTTACCTCGCTGAGATGGAAGCCGGAGCTCAACGTCCTATTGAAGTCCGCTGGAATCCTGTGATTGTCTCCCCATCTAGGCCATGAAGAAAGAGAGCAATACGCTCATAGTGTAATAAATTAGGAATTTATTATATATAAACAACAGCGCTTAGATAAAAATAAAAGCAAAAAAACAGCCAGCCGGCCGGCCGGTCGGTCATACGTGACTCTCCAGACTGAAAGTGTGACGTGACTTCACGTCACACTTTCAGTCTGGAGAGTCACGTTTGACCGACCGACCGGCCGGCTGTTTTTGGCTTTTATTTTTATCTAAGCGCTGTCCTGGATGTTTTTGCATGTACATAGTTGTTACATGTTGTGCATTTTTCTCACAATCTTTTATTCACACAGAGATGCGATCTATTTACATATTTTATTGTGAATATTATGTTTGACACTTTTATTGCATTTTTGAACTTAATACTATATGTTTGGGTGTATCACGGAGAGGCTTTTAGCGCTGTACTGTGCATCGAATAATCTGAGAATAATGTTCCTCAATGTAAAAGTGCAAAGACTTTAAATATATCACTATCCACAGTACATAATCTCATCAAAAGATTCTGAGAATCTGGAGAAATCTCTGTGCACAAGGGACAAGGCCGAAATGCAATATTGGATGCCCTGTGATCTTCGGGGTCCTCAGACTGCACTGCATTAAAAACAGGCATGATTCTGTGATGGATATCAATGCATGGGCTTAGGAATACTTCCAAGAATCACTGTCTGTGGATGGAGCTCGCCATTTAAAAATGCAAGTTAAAGCTCTATCATGCAAAGGTGAAGCCATATCTGAACATTATCCAGAAACTCTGCATTCTTCTCTGGGCCAAAGCTCACTTAAAATGTTCTGTTGCAAAGTGGAAGACTGGTCCGATGAAATAAAATTTGACATTCTTTTTGGCAACCATGGGCGCCTCATTCTCTGGACTAAAGAGGAGAGGGACCTTCTGGCTTGTTATTTGCGCTCACTTCAAAAGCTTACATCTCTGATGGTATGGAGGTGCATTAGTGCATACGGAACGGGCAGCTTGCACATCTGGAAAACCACCATCAATGCTGAAAGATATATCCAGGTTTGAGAGCAGCATATGCTTCCATCCAGATTACATCTTTTTCAGGGAAGACCTTTTATATTTAAGGAGGACAATGCTAACCCACATACTGCAACTTTGACAACAGCATGGCTTCGTAGTAGAAGAGTCTGGGTTTGTAGCAAATCCTGCTACAAACTTCAGACTTCACAACTAAATCCCTCGGATTCCTGGCAGCACGGATGCAGCTCCACCTTCTGTGAATGAACTCTCCACCTAAATAGCAAGTAGCCATTACCACATGCTGTAATCAAATGAAGTGTTTGCTGATGCCTATGTCGGACTTCCATTGTACACTCCTCTTCTTCTAATTGCTATTGATTAGAACAACACTGCTGCATAGGACATAAGGATTTACTGCTCTTATTGATATTGGGGTTATGAATAGTGAATTGAACCAACTCATATATCACCCTTCCTTACCCTATTCTCGGGACTGTCATCACTACTGGATGCAATAGAGTTACCATCTGTGTTGACCGCCCTAGTGAAGTAACTAGGAGAGAGAACTACAATTCCCATCAAGCCCCAATGCAGTACAATTGAGGGTTGTGGGGATACACCCCCTTAATATAACTTCTCCTACAAACAAATGGTATATGATGTGTAAGGGGTTCCTACTACACTCCCTGCACTAAAGTGTGACTGTGAACCCCCCACCTGAACCATTTTAGCTTACCTCCGCAGTTGCGATCCTACACCCCCCGCTGCGCTTGCACGGATCATTACAGCTAGTAATCTGCCCTTACTAAACATGGCCACTGCCAGAAGACTGGGGAAGAAAAGAGAAATAAGGATTGCAAAGAATACAAAGCTGGCAATTATCTAGAAGTATGTGATTGTAGATTGTCATTACTAAACATTTCTAAAGGTGTGTTGTTATTTTAAAGATGTGGGTAAAGGTCCGCTTTAACTGGCCTGCCTACAGTCCAGACCTTTCACCAATTAAACACATTTGTCACATCTTGAAACGAAAAATACGATAAAGAAGACCCAGGACTGTTGAGCAGTTAGAATCATATATCAGGCAAGAATAAGCCAACATTCCTCTCTTAAAACTCCAGCAACGGGTCTCCTCAGTTCCCAGACATTTACAGAGTGTTGTTAAGGCTAGGCGATTGCACTGGTGACCTGTTTTCACGCATTTTCGTTTGTGCGACTGTTCTTTAACCTCCCTGGCGTTATTCTCGAGTCTGGCTCAGGGTTAATTTTCAGTACCAAGATCGGTAACCCCGAGCTAGACTCGGGATTGCACAGAAAAGTGTCACTTACCTTGTCCCTGCGAGCCTGCGGTGTCCTCTGCTGTACACGGCCGGCCGATGCCGGCATCTGAGTTTTAGTTTCGTTTTCGGGCGTCACAGCGAGGGGCGGAGCCGGCGGGAAATTCAAAAGTGAAAACATGACCTTTACACAGAATACACAAAATAGAATTGAGCGATAGTGATTCGTTGGGAAATTCGTCACTGATGACGAATTTCCCAATGAATCGCTAGTTCTGCAAGTGATTCTAATTTACTATCGCTGTGTTC